GAGTGCATCTGCGAGGACTTGCACCTTTCAAAGGACGTGGCAGCGGCCACTTTCATGGCCACGGCCACCTCCATGCCCGAGTTCTTCACGAACACGATCAGCACGTTGATTCTGGAGTCAGATATGGGTCTGGGCACTATTATCGGCTCGTTGATGTTCAACACGCTGGGAGTGGCCGGCTTGGCGGCGCTCGCCATCGATAAGGTAAGGGGCACCACAAATGTAAGCTATCTAAACAAGGTAATGTTGTCCCGGTTAAACTGTGCGCTGCAGACTGTTCGAATGGACCTGTCCTCAGGGGTGAGCGACGTTTACTCGCATTTTTGTATGATTTGAGTGGCCTAAGGCGCTTTCTTGGTAGGGAATACATAAAATAATGATTTCATAATTCCAAAACGCACGTGACAAATTTTATAATTCATTTATAATTTTCAGCCTGTGCAACTGGACTGGTGGCCCATAGCTCGCGACTGCTTCATTTATATATTCAACACGATTATCCTGCTGGTCTTAGCCTGGGGCGGAAGCATTAGTTTCACGGAGTCCTGCATCATGATCGGATTCCTCGTGCTTTACTACCTTATCACGTTCAACAATAACAAGTTCATGCCCGCCATCCGGGTGTTTATCGAGGATCGAATGAACTGCTGCTTCTCCACGCGATATGGTATGTAGGCCTAGGGATATTTGTAGCCTACTCTTGGTAGTACTATTGTTAATAAATTATTTTATTCATGTATTTTAGATCTAACAGAGCCCCCAGAGAACAGCGCCAAGGCGCAGCTGCCGCTCAAAAAGGACCCTCTGTCCGGCGATGGCCTTTTTGTGGTTAATCTTCCCGAAAACACCTCGTCAATGTCTTCCACCGCCAACCTCACACACCCCAAGCACCGTAAGCAGCGTTTATTTCCGTATAATGGTTCAGTTGAAATCATGTAACATAATGAAGAAAGCGTTTCCGACCCTATAAACTTTACCTTTTGTCCGTCCGTATGGCCGTTGTTATCGCAGGAACAATAAGAGCAAGAGAATAGCAATTCTCCCATCGGCATGCCACAAATGGATAGTCATAAGTAGCTAGTGAATCCGCCCTCGCACTTTGTTTAACTTGGTTATGAATATAAAATAGTCGATTGATCGACTATATCGTTCTCTCTTGTTTTTCAATCTTTAAAGTAAATTACCGATTCCAGTGAACGACGAGGACGACGACGCGGACGGTATACCCGAGAGCATATACGCTTACCCACATGACGCCTCCGGTTGGATGCAATTCTGGTGGATCTTCGTCTTTCCCATTAAGTTCACGCTATCCCTGCTGATCCCGCACCCGATGAAGTACCGCCGGCTGTACCCATTATCTTTTATCATGTGCATCCTTTGCATTGGCGGAAACGCCTACCTAATTGTCTGGATGCTGACTGCCTTTGGTGTGGCCATCCATGTGCCCACCATTGTGATGGGTCTGACCTTCCTGGCTGCTGGCTCTACTATGCCGGAAGCCGTCTCCAGTCTTATTTCCCTTAGAAATGGTAAGTGGTGTTTCATTTGATTTCCTTCTTCTTAATGACATTTTAGGCAGGTTGGCAAACTTCCGATTAAAAACAATGTACCCTCAAAAAGGGTATAAAAGATATACTATTGTCAGATATCCGTTAATCAGTTAAAGGGAGTGCAATGAGCATTGAGATTTGGAAGCAGGGAAGATTAGCCACGAATTTATTAAAATTTCTAAAGTAATGTAATTGAAGTAAATTCTGACAATTATTGGTGTTTTACTATATGTAGCGCAACAAGTATATGTATGTTTTGTAATATAGAGCGTAGGCATGTCTCAAACGTTTTTGGCTAGTCGATGCAAATTGACAAGGGAAATACAGGTATAATTTCGAAAAAATAAAAATATGTTTTAAAAGAGAAGGCGATAAGTTTTTTGACACGTCCAAACATTCCTTCTACCTGATATTCCTTTAGCCATAAAAGCACTATTAAAACGATTTTTAACTAGTTGTATTACGTTCTGCAATTTATAGGGGAAAATGGCATTGGAGTTTCTAATTCGTTGGGCGCCAATTCGTTGGCCATCTTGCTGTCCCTTGGAGTGCCTTGGTTCATTAAGAACTGCATACACTACGGAACTGGAGAGCCCCAGCAGGTTGGCACCCAGGGCATCGAGTATAACATCCTGATCCTGATCATATCCACTGTGGCGCTGTTCATAATCCTCAGTTTCAGTGGATATCGGCTTACGAAGCGAGTGGGCGTAGCCCTCTTCACGGTCTACGGAGTGTTTATTGTTCTGCAAATCCTCATCGAAATGAATGTTTTTTTTCCCAGAGATTGCAGCAGCTAGTGATGGACAAAGATTTGATGTGAAAAATCAGAGATGCGGAGAAAATCACCCTAACACAATCCTTTTGGTGCTGGCACCAGGAATTTATCATCTTCAAAAAGAAAACCTCTTAGCAGGGCCTGAATCTGTGTGTAATATTGTTTAGCTAATACTATACTATCTGAAGTTTGAATATTTTAAATGATAAGTACAAGAATTTTATGACTTGGCTGTACTTTGTAATTATCATTTTAATACTCAACCAGAAATCAGAGGCAGTAGACACCCTGTTTTTCTTACCCTACTTTACGATTTAATTATTGCGTAAGACTGTCTTTAGGTTTAGACGATGAAGCGTCCATTAGCTATTTCTATTTATTTCTTGTTGTATATATTGTATATATGATTTTGAATATATCCCATACCCCGTAGTGCGACCTACAAATGTTTAAACCGTTACCAAAGCACAAAACGAGATACTAGCAGTTAAGAACATATTACACGCTTATCCGGGAGAGCCCATGATATTCACCAATTCTACCCAGAGCCGAAAAAAAAACGCTGAAAAGAAAATCGTAACACCACACACCACGTTCTGTTGATATTCCCCGCTATCATATGTATATACTGATCGAACTACTTGTTAACTTTATATAATATCCTTGATACCATTGTTATTAATTTATAAATATACCCTAAGACAATTTTTACCGAATCTTTCCTTTTTTATCGATCGAAATCTTTCCGATTCTATCTAGGGGTCATTTGATTTGTTTCTTAAGCCAGGATAAAAATAAAACAGAGATAATTGGGTGGCGGTTTGTCGTTAGGTTTTAGTTTCATCCAGGGGGATTTACAAAACATTCGCATTGGAGAATAATTTGAATTACCTTGAATTTGTTACATCATAAATAATATTATTAAATGAGATCAAATACACCTTAATACACATCTAATTCGTGGAACGATACCTATGCTAATTAATTGGTGTGTATCTAGGTGTGTACACTATTTATCTTATAGATATATAAATACATATGTATATAAATAAGGAGAAGCTTTATTTCTCCATTACCACTAAATATAAATAAGTTCAATAAAGGGCTTTGTTTTTGTTTGCACGCATTGGGTTGGCAAGTGTCTTGGAGATTCTCTGGGACTAATCAAATTGTTTACGCAAATACTTAGAATTAGTTGGTTTATACACCCACTTTTTTATACACAATACGCTTACTGCATCTGGTATGCCACCAAATGCCTATGCATTCAACATATATAGATACCAAGGAAGTTTTTGAAACTTCCAGGGGCTTGTCGGAGGCTGCACCGTATGCGTGCGCGGCCTTGACTTGCCACCTGTCCCACTATTTCTTCTTTATTCTCCTTATTCACCTCAACCCTTTTCCATAAGCAAATCAGTCTGAGCAATTACAATTCAGAAATTCAAATATGCTACAAATGCGAAATGGCAGCTTAAAGCTGCCTCCTAACAACCTGTCAACCCATTGGCACAAAGCTCAATCGATATGCCTCCACATACGGATGACTGTGCTCAGTAAATGGTAACTAAAGGCGGCGTGTGTAAAACATAACACCCTGTCCAGCGCAGGACATGTACAATCACTAGTTGGGATGCCTGTTATTAGGTGCAGCAATGGTGACCGTTCTTAACATAGTAATTGTGCATGGCAACAGTGCTGTTCTTGCTATAGCTTCCGCTGCCACTGCTCCCATTGTATTGCATGTTGGACATGGAGCTGCCGGAGCCACCTCCCGGAATGGGTGCATCGTCGGTGCTGGTGGAGGCGTCGAAGGCCTTGATGGGATTCTGGATAATCTTGCAGGTGAATTGACGATGGGGGCCACGCTCCTGCTGGGTAAGTACATATCTGGGAAATCTTCAGCTTCGTATTGCCTAATGAACATACCTTAGGCTGTATGGGGAAGCAGCACCAAAGGATAAAGGCTATAAACGCCACCAGGGTGCCCACTAGCAGTATGAAGTCCTCGATGGTCTACAGAAGGCCGAAAGTCCATGTCTGGTGAATTCTGAATGCAATTGGCCGCATGTAGCCCACTTACCGGCTCCTCGCCCAGCAGCACATGATTGATCAGATAGACAAAGTCATCAAAGGGTGTCATCGTGACTATCCTTTTCGCACTCTTGTGCGTGAGGCAACTGCAACAGCTGCTAATGACAAACGCCGCTACAATCCGCACAGCACAACAGCATGGCGGTCCGGAGGATTACACCGCAATTACCACTACATATCCTCCGGGTTCTGTGAATTTCCCGATTTTCGCTCGGCTTTTCGGCTGTGTGACCAGGTGCGACCAGCTAACAGACACGACTTTTGAACAGGTTATCTCAAAATGCATGTGTAAGCAAGTGCATATGTATTTAGAGCGGCTATTGGCATTAAATGCTATTGCACAAACTATAAGGAAATCTATGTATGTTTGTTATTATAATATGTTTTAGCTCGGTGTGTTTTATAACCTCTTCGTTCGGAAAAGCACCGCCTTAGGCGACTTTTTCGCTAAGAAGTACCCTTGTATAAAAAGACACACACGGTAATCCCTACTTTTGTTAGATTTTGTAGATTTATTTTCAATTGTAAACGCCTTTTCTGAGCAATCGATATACATAGCTGCCAACTCGATAAAGTGTCTTGGTTTTCTTTTCCTTTGGTCACACTCGTTTTAACAGCTGACTGTATCACAAAACAGCCATTTTTTAATTTTTGATTTGTTTTTCCATCGATTTCTGGAATTCATCTGGTGCATCATCCGGAAATGAGCAAGCGACGCAACAAGGAGCGCGAACAGGAACATCAACGCTCCGGTGACGAGGGCGACACCAAAATGAATGAACGCAACTTATCCAAAACGATACAAAGCAAGCAGAGGGCGGCCCGCGATTCCTCCAGTTCACCGGATTCCTCCAATGAAAGCAAAAAATTGATTCACAGCACCCAGTCGCCTAAGAGAAAGCAGCCGAGGCCAGGTAGGCGGCCGAGGGAATCTTCTGATTCGCAGGAGAAACGCCCCAAACAGTTCGCAAAGCCGTCGGAGGACATACATGAACAGCGCTCTAAGTGGGACAGTCCGGAACGCAGCAGCTCCCATCGCAACAGTACAAGGCAGCGCCGGAACAGCCGGAGTCGCTCAAGGGGCCGTAGCGAAAGGGAGCGGGATAGGGATCGTGAGCGAAACCGCGAGCGGGACTATAACATGCAGTCCAGCAAGGAGCGCTGCCATCGGCATCGTTCAAGGAGCAGCGAGGGCAAAAATCGGGATCGTGATCGCCAACGGAGGTCTCCAGAAAGGCGGCCAGTTCGGTGAGTTTGCCTAAATCTTTACAGAATTTATGTAATAAGCTGAAATTCATTCCATATTTCGCTAGAAAATCGAACTACAATATTTTTGCAAATCATCAGTTTCATTTTACATTAACAGATTTCACCATAATTCCCATTAAATACAAAGCTATTCCTTAACTACTAATGATACGTTAAAAAGTATTTCCTGCTATCGAAACTGCTCAGTTGTATTAATCTAAAAGTCTATTCAATTTTTCTTTCATCAATGCTAATTAAGTGCAATTAGTAGGGTTTGCATTATATTTTAAGAAAAAAATGTTTAAATTAGTTAAATTTTAAGGCAATGTAGCAATAATGTTTGTCCAAATTCTGATTGGAGATTCCTTCTTTCCCCGCCGTAGTCAAAGTCCACGAGATCGGGCTCACCACGGCGAGCGGGATCTCAGCGAGGGACGCCAGCGAAATCAACGTCGCGACAATCGCAACAAGAACGAGGACGATCACTACGCATGGGGAAAAGAAGTCGACGAAAAAGTGCCGGCCGAGAATGACGTGCCGGTGGACAAGGAAAAGCCAAACTTCGGACTAAGTGGTGCGCTAACAGAGGACACCAATAAGTTAAACGGTGTGGTGGTTAAATACTCTGAGCCTTCCGAGGCACGCAAGCCTAAACGCCGTTGGAGATTGTACCCTTTTAAGGGCGAAACAGCATTGCCCACGCTGCACATTCATCGGCAGAGTTGCTTTCTGGTTGGACGCGATCGAAAAGTGGTCGATCTGGCAGTGGATCATCCTAGTTGCTCTAAACAACACGCCGCCCTGCAATATCGACTGGTGCCATTCGAGCGGGAAGATGGCAGTCACGGGAAACGCGTGCGATTGTACCTTATCGATCTGGATTCAGCCAACGGAACGTTTCTCAACAACAAGAAGATCGATGCCAGAAAGTACTACGAGCTTATGGAAAAGGACGTTATCAAGTTTGGATTCAGTTCGCGGGAGTATGTTCTGCTCCACGAAAACAGTAAAGAAGACCAGGAAGACGATGATGTGCATATCAAGGATGAGCCTCAGGACGCGCCTTTGGAAGTGGCGAATCCCTAGATGGCATACGTGTCATTACGGCTTAAAATATTCAGTTATTAAGTTTACTGCAAACCTAACTTAATGTATCGCGTTTTGTACCCCAAACCTTCGGCGAAAGATATGTAAAAAATCTTCTACGGAACACGGCTATGAGTGTTCACTGCCAACACAATAATAAATTCTCACACATAACTGTCTTGTTTCGATGAAGCGCCATAAGGTCAGGCGGAAAGCGCTGACATCGAACATTTTCCGGCGAGCTAGATCTCAAGAGTTTCAGCTTTCATTTGACCGTTAACACGATGCGATGGCAGTTGGTCATTATGTGGCTCTTCGTCTCGGCGTTGGCAACACCTGGCATAAGGTGGCGCCGCCAAATAGTGACACCGAAACACTTGATAGCACCACCTTTGTCACCAATCTCCCAGGACAAAGTGGTGGTCACCCCGCAAAAGCTAAGAGAAGTCGCTGACTTGAAGGCCATGATCCAAAAGGCCGTCGATGAGAACACTTACATGGTGTCCGCTGCACCAACAAAGGTGAGTCATCAAAGTAATCATCAGAACATCATTTAGAGGTAGCACAGAAGTGGTTCGTAGGACGATTTTTTTTGATTTCTTTTATGAATCAATAATAAGTCTAATACTACAAACAATTACAAACTTTTAAAATTTCAATTTATAATATAATATAATATACAATATAAATATGGGCTAATGGGCTACCCGCTAATTACCATCAAAAAAGTTAGTGGAAACTAGGAATGTATAGCTTTTATTGTTTCCAAGATCCCAACGATCATACGAACGAACTGACGACCAAACAAGCGGTCATGGCTAGATCAACGTCCAAGTGTTTGTGATTACGAATTTTTATAGCTTAAAGGATCGGAAACGCTTTCTTGAATCTAATATAACCTTTTACCCTATGAGTAGCGCGTGTACTATTTCCATTCGTGAGTCTCGAAGATTATCAAATGGAAATGACTGGGTATAAAATGTAGAAAGTTTTTGAAACCGTCACTTTGTTAGTCTCCGTATTTGTAGATTTCTTATATTTACTGATTGTATAATTGTATTATTACCACGCTTTACCAGGATTTTCTAGCAACACTGGCTGGAAATTGGGGGGCACCTTTATCCTTGCCTCACTCCTGGATTCCGCCAGCCTTTAATCTTACCATATTTTGGCCTGGATTCGGCTAACAACATGCAACAACTTTGATCACAGTCGTAGCTCATAGTATAAGTCAGCATTAACGATCGAGGTGCGGAAATCGCATAAGCTTCGAACTGCGCCTCTTGAGGAACTGTAAGACAAGAAATCAGAAAGAATCCTCTGATTATTAATTAAAAAAAAAGACAAGCAGTAACTTGCAAATTGTTAAGCTTTTATTGTTCATCCAATCGACATCAAATCGGGGAGAAACTACGGAACGGCATGGTTTAATGAATATCTGATGTTTTTTGTCTCATGAATTGATTATGAATCTTACAATCCTGTACAAAATATCATCTTAAACCACTACCTAACAAATAGTTTTAGTTTTATATGTAAGGTACCGTGAACAAGAAAAAGCCCTAAAATATATGTTTAATATTATTTAATAGATCTGTGTTTTTATATGTAGAATCGCACTGAAAAAAAAAATACATTTCATATGTTAATGGAGACAACAACAATCATGTATGTTCTATAACTGAGACATGTTCATTCAAATATATCAATATACATATATGTATGTGTAAATCGTATATAGTAGCTAAATATTTAATTTATTTATTCGCTGTTTAAAAACATTTTTTCTAATGCGGCTTTATAAGTTTTGTTCCCATTGCGATGAAAAAATACTAACAATTTTTAATAGTATAAGTAAAAAAAACAAACACAAAAGTGATAATTAAAAATAAGGACAGTTGACAATTTTATGGCCGTTTGGCTGCCCAGCACCTTGCGCTTTATTTTGTTCTTGTGCTAAATACAAATATTTGGCTAATTTTAATCAACATTTTATAGTCAGAGGAAAATCTAGCTTTGGGAAGCAGAAGCGTATGTAAATTTGCAGTTAAAAAAATTGTATAATTAGCACGAGTATGATGGGCTTAACAGGCAGTTTTCAGATCGTCGTCTAGGCAGACTAATTTTTGTATAATTTTTTAAGTATTTCCCATCATGATCAAAAACAGGGAAGTTATATACATATCAGTAATAGCAGCCAAGTTAATCTAGCCACGTCTGCTAGTGGGAAAAAAACGAAACTTCGTTGTTCTTGATCTTAATATACCCGTTACTCGTATAGTAAAAGGGTATACTCGATTCGTTGAAAAGTATGTAACAGGCAGAAGGAAACGTTTCCGACCATATAAAGAATATATATTCTTGATCAGGATCAATAGCCGAGTCGATTTGGCCATGTCCTTCCGTCTGTCCGTATAAACGCCTCGATCTCAGGAACTACAAAAGCTAGAATGTTGAGATTAAGCATGCAGTTTCCAGAGACATAGACGCAGCGAAAGTTTGCTTCCAAATGTTGCCACAAACCACAAACCGCACAAAACTGTCACGGCCACACTTTTGAAAAATTTAATATTTTTCACATTTTTGTATATCTTGTAAATTGCTATAGATTTGCCAACAATTTTTTTGCCACGCCCACTCCAACGCCCACAAACCGCCCAAAACTGTCACGCCTACACTTTTAAGAAATTTTTAATTTTTTTTTCATTCAATTATTTTTTTCCCAATTTCTACCGATATTCCAGAAAATTTTGAAATTTCCCGTCGTAGATAGAGACGGGTGATATATCGACATGTGTATTTATCTACGAGTAAATTAGTTCTTGCTATACTCTTCAGACAGAAATTTAATAAAAAACTATTTGTTTGATCCTCGGTAAATTGATTAGTGTTAAAACTTAAACAAAAATATTTCATTTTATTGAAAAAAAATTATAGATATGTAGGAGTGACCTTATTTTATTGTGTGTGAGCGTGATTTCCAGATTTTTTCTTATTAAGTTCCACCACTCTAGCTTTTAGTTCCTAAAACTTCGACGTTCCTACCAATGAAGAATTTATATTTACTTTACTTTTCTTTTGATTAATATATAATTCGAACGGATCTGGTATTACCTTTTACTTTAAGAGTAACGGGTGTAGCTAAGATAAACAAAAATAATTTCTATTAACTTTACCAAATGCTAAGAAAAGTACTTATTCCACTTTGTGAAGATAAAAATGTAAAAAACAAAGTATTACAAAATGGCGATTACATTGTGTATTATTAAAAATTACATTGATGGACCTACGAAATTGAATTAATTACAATGCACAGATTTCGAATTCAGTCACGAAGCATGATTCGCTGAAGCATGATTTGGGGGAAATAAACCTTTAAGATGAAAACATTTAGTGTTTATCCAAATATGTAGGATGCTGCTATTGGCATAGCGGATTCTTGGTCAGTACACTTTTTTTTAACCTGGCGTCATGTCATGTATGTGTACACTTAACGCACAAATAATTTTAAGTTTTCTTCTAAAGCAAGCAAATGGAATGTTCCTAACTCATAATTATTAGCTTAAGTACAGTGCTGGGCGCTGAAACAATGCAAACTCAATACAATTAAGTTGGTTTGACGTAAAATGGAAGTAAGACGTTCAGGTTTTACTTAAAATAAGAAATCGCTAAAGTATGAACGAATTGAAAAAATTTGTTTCCTTCTCCGTGTCCTGCAGATGAAGAAGTCTGGCCTTAGTCCGTAAACAATAATACTAAATACGGAACTAATATGGCTCACTACATGCTAACACAACGGGTTGCTAGTCTCATGGTTGCACGATGTTTTAAAATATTCGTAAATAAGCTGTGATTGATACGCGGATGTCGTATGAGCTAATCATTAAATCCAAAATTCAACTCAAGCAGCAGGGACATCTAAAGCGAATCCGATTGTCCCTGTTGTCCAGATGGCGATGTTGCGTATATGGTCGTTACTTCTTCGCCAGGCGGCTGGAGTTGCTCTTGCGACTGCTCCAGTTTCTGCAGATGATGCTTCGGCTGCTGATGGAGATGTTCGGAATGGGCGTGGGATCATATATAGGGTTCATATTTAGGTCTTATCTAACCTCATCGATGTCCTCGCCTTCCGAAGAGCTGCGTATCGTATTGTATTGTGAGTTGCGGCTGCGCAGCATACGCAGGAAACTGCCCACTGCAAAAATAGTACGTCGGTGCCGATGAAATATACCCTGGTATAAGGCCTCTCGTAATGTCTTCCTGTCCTCTACATCCACCGATGACGTTATCGACGTTTGATGCGGCAATCGTGCTGGAAACACAAAAAAAATATGTATATGTATAAGAAAGACGATTCATAATAAGGTCAGCAAGCCAGAAACTGTAAACAGAACGCAATCGAAATAATGAATAAATGCGATAAGAAGAGTTCCACAAGGAGAATTATTCTGGAAGTAAGGTCAGATTACTGGCGCAATCATATGTGCAGGGAAATGGGTGAATGAATAAACAAAAAAGAGGGCAAGAGTAATAGCCTTCCTGATAAGGTACCTATTAGAGAGGCAAATTTTCAAGGAAATCGTAAACCGTAGAAACTAAACCGTAATTTAATAAAAATATAATGTAAGAGATGAAAGATTATTAAAGTATTGATTAAGATTCGTACGATTAAACAAATTCGTGATTCGAGCATATATGGCTGCAATAAAGTATAGTTCCCGGTTTTTTAAATCAAGCGAAGACATTTATAATTTAAAATTTTTTGTTTGAAGCTTAGTAATAAATAGTAATCTTTGTAAAACGTATACAAATATTTACTAATTTTTTACTGGGAAGAAGAAGGATGTATTATTTATCAGCTTGATCAAACGGCTAACAATTTAGTCCTGTCCGTCTGATATATATGTTTAATTCCCGCATTCAATGTATAGAACTCGATCGGATAAAGAAAAACCAAAACAAAAATCTATGAATATAATATTTATAAAATCTATAAATATGAACTAGCCAACGCGGACATTTCATGTTAATGGGTGCCAAATGAGTTAGTTTTGCATAATGACCCTAAAATAGCATTTTATTCGCTGATACTAAATTTATTGCACAAATAGGGTTGAGTGATATGAATGGCTGTCTTTGTTGTTATCAAACGTGAAATATGTTATACATCAAAAATTAGTGAATTTCAACGAATTGTAAAACATTTAGATTTGCACCATTCTTCCTCTTGAATCTCTTTAGTTTTTGAGCTATCTTTCGATAGGTGTATTCGTTATCATTAGACAACCACAGCAGATTTACATTTTTGGTATATAAAGTATTCCCTTCGCACACTCTTTTGGTTGGCTTTGTCACTGCGTGGACTGCCAGTGATTCAAGCATTTTAATAATGAAAAAAAATTACAAATTGTTACATTATTTGTTTAAATGTGCAGCTTGGACTGGAGTAAAAACAAGAGATAACGCTATAGTCCAATTCCTCAACTAACAGATACCCTTTTGTCAGCTAAAGAAATGCGAGGGATATGAAGATATCCAAGCAGATAGTGACTGTAGTCAAGATAGCACACAAGTGCCAACTGTCGACGGAAACATTGCTTACGACTCTGATGTGATTGACCCTAATGCATTTTTTAATAATCCGCACGGTCGCACGTCGCTGATCAATGAATTTCCCTGCCGGCACTCTGCACATGGGTACGATCTCGTGAACTTATCCGTTTTCAAGGGTGAATACCAACTTTTATAGTGATACCATTCAAACGGACGGAAGGACGGACATGGACAAATCGATTCGGCTGGATCAAAAAATGCTTCCCTTAACATGTTACATACGATGAATTCAGTATTCCCCTTGACCATATGAGTGAACTAGTAAACAATTGTAAAATATATTTCATACCAGTATATGTTAAGATAGTTAAGAAAAAAATATAGGTGTTTAATGTGTCTTAAACTAATTTATATAAAAATACAAAAAATAAATTTTGTTTTTCTAAAACCCATGTACAACGCAAAAAGGATTTTACAATTGTACATATATACATATACTTAGATTTATATACATATACATATATTTAGATTTTTTGCTTTCGAAATTAAAATATCAAACAGCTGTTATACTTAATTGCGGTTATACTTAAATTGGGTATACTAACCAGCTATGGGTGACTTGGGCGATTTGAGTGAGTATTCGTCAATGTTCTTGCCGCCAAGATCTAGTTTGAGCACCTTCTTGGTTAACTGTTGGGTGGCCTTGTTGCTGGTCCTTTCTATCTTAATATCCACGTTTCGCTGGCTGACAGCACTCTTGGTGGGAACGGCCTCCATCGACTCCGTCGCTTCCGTTGTTGTCGTTCCTTTGGCCGCATCCGTCATGTTGTTGTTTGTGATGTTATTAACGTCGCTCGCACTTGTGTTGATTTTTAACTTCTGATACAGGTTCTTTTCAGTATCCCTTGAAGGTTGCAGGCGAGGAACACTGTCATCCAACGCCTCCCGTCCAGCCCCTGTTATTGTACTGTCTTTATCAGAATTATTGTTATTAACCACCGTGTCTTGTGTAGCACCGACAAATGATGGAGACACAGCGGTACCACTACTGTCGGCAACCCTGCTACTGCTACTGTTGCTTTCAACGACGTCGGCAGCGGCAACAGCAACAGCAACAACCATTGTTCGAGAACTCGAGCTTCGCTATTTTCCTATTTGTTTTCTGTTGTTTGTATTTTTTTTACTAAGCATATAAACGATTTCCGCTGACGTGCGCGCACTTTTGGATTCGGTTCGGTTCTGTTGTCGGTTTCGCTATCGTTTTTTTTTGTTCTATTCGATTTAAAGCGATTTTATTCGATTTAATTGTCGGTTGCTTATATATATATATATATATATATATATATATATATATATATATATATATATATATATATATATGTATATTGATTCTATGTCGCTTTCAGATCAAGGCTCGGTGGATTGGCTTCATTGGGTATCTGCAGTGTAACAATGTCGAAGCTGGTGCTATGCAGCGTCACCTGTTGAGCGGTGCAGTCAGTAAGCGTAATCTGTGGCAGGGTCAGTGTCAGTTGCTGCCTGCGACAACTGTTCTCCCCAATACTCAGGTAGCTTAGGTTGTCAATGATCTCACAGAGACGTCGTTGGTCAGCGGATGCAGTCAGTGTGGTTTTAAATGTGGGTTCTATAGTTTTTTCGCCTACTGCTCCTGTTGGTTCCTCTAATTCTGAAGTTGTACAATCGAAGTCATAAAAATCACACATGCTAGTAAGTTGGTCAGCTGTGTTCGATTCCAGCTTTGAGTTTAGGTCCAAACTCTCATCCAAGCATTGCACTTTTGCCAGATCCTCTTGCTTCACTGTTCTTATGTTCACCCAAATGCCGTAGTCGTCCGCTTTCTTCTTGTCCTTGCCTGGCAAACTCTTGATCAACGTCACCAGTCGACTGGGCAACTTTTGAACTGGACTCTCGTCACAATGCACTTCGTCGAAAAGCAAACCCGTTGCCGGTTTTATTGCATTACGCTGGCCAATCGATTGCAGGTACTTTATGTTAGCCTGCAACCCCCGTTCGTAATAGCTGCTGGCCAGTTGCAAATAGCCGTAGAAATTCACTGGTAGTTGCTGTTGTGGGCTTTCCGCGGGGCACTTACTAATATTTATCTTATAATTGGGACGGCCACAGTCGCTGGTTTGGCTTCCGTGCGCGGAGGCCACCGGCACCTCATCACTGGTGCCGATTTTGCTGTCCGTTCCCCATGGAATCCGGTGGACCAGATGACGTAGCTGCTCGCAGCTATGAGCACTTCTTATCCGACGCACTTCGTCGTTGTAGGTCTTGTCGGACAGTTTACCAGACAACACTGACCGTCGGCTGCGGGACTCATACGTAGTATCGTCGTATCTGTAATTAGTGAAAGCACCAATATATACATCATGAGAGGAAAATATAATGGAACCAAAGAAAACATTAATTACAAAGGCAAGTGCAAACACGTACGATAAACAAACCCGTAACTCGAAACCCACCCCCAAACTAGTACATATTGTCGCTCGGAAAGTATACATAAACATAGTTAACAGAGTCTTAGGAATTCGCCTTAATTCGATCAAACAACACACTAAATAACGATGTAGAAATCTAGTGAAACTTTTGTTACGAAAAATGATTCTACATCATATATGTATGTATATGTATACATCTATATAAAAAGTAATGTACTCATTCGAAGTTTCAGAACAGGCGTTGAATGACAAAATCGTTTAACGTTAAAACATCGTTTAAACACCTTTTTAGACTACAAAAGGTCTAAAAAAGGTTTTGTCGCAAAAGCTGATAATATAGGCTTTTTACATCGTCATTTGTTATACCCATTACTCGCAGATTAAAAGGGTATACTAGATTCGTTAAAAGGTATGTAAAATATACGATTTCTTTAGGGCAGGCGTATCTTTAGGGGAGTAAATCTCTCGACAGCTAAAGCAAGGTATACAGAAAATATCGCTGACACCAAATTAAATGTAGTAAAAAAACCTGGGTTAAAGAGTGTTGACACAACAAGCCACCTGCCTGTAACTGCAATGGAGTCGTCAGACATGAGGATGCCAATCCATGTTACTTGAGCTGTGAATATTTGTCGGAAATTCAACGCCAACGAGCTTTTCAAGGTGTACCCAACCCATATTTATGACAGCCACTATCAAAAAGACCCTTCCTTAAAGGCTTTATACATGGGTAAATTGCCAGTTGGCTATATCCTCCCACAATTAAAACACGATCAAACCTGGGAAAGTAGTGCACATGAGTTGGCCACACATCGCGAAACTCCGCATATCCTGACGACAAAAAGGCGGGCGTCCGAGATTTTTTCACCGAGGGTATCCTCTTTCGTCGCCGATGGCCCAAATTTCGGGATACACATCCAGATCCAAGCTGCTGTAACTTGTAGTTCCTGTAGTGGTTGGCTACTTCGTGACAAAAGCGATCCGGCAAAAAACACTTTGTATTGTACTCTCTTTTCATAGTCATCCGGGGAAAAAACTGGGCTCCACTGCCCAGCGCAACGCCCTCTACAACCAGGCCGACAGAGGAGCACATGCCTCAGCCCTTTGGATAATTTGACGGCATCAAGACGACAGCCGGGATAATAGACCGCTTAACCCGCTTCAAGCCAACTTGCTCGTTGAAGCCAACAATGTGAACTACGTGGGTTGACATTGATGGCTTCTCCTCATCGCTTATTGTTTCGGGATACGATGAACGAGGCATAGCGCATCTAAATTGCTCACCAATGGGTGCTTCAAATTATGTACATTTATTGAACAACCGAACAATACAAATTCTGTTGGCAACAGCAGTTTGCGGTTATTTGTTATCACGTCAGGTCGTGATTTGTTTTCGTTTGTTTGACATCGCATTGGAGTTGAAAAAGTAAAGGAAGGCTGAATTGCTGGGTTGCTGAACTTGAACTGCTAGCTAATGCCCTCCAAAATTCAAAATCCATTTAAACATTAAGAATCAATAAAATAATTTTGGTACACAATAAATTATAATTTATGTTCTTGATTGTAAGTAAAAAATTTAATTTATGATTATTTAATCAATAACAATTAATTTTACAATAAACAAAATTGACAATGAAGTAAAGTTCCCCCACTGAGAAAACGATAATCAAGAATATATTTTTAATCAAGGCATTGCCACTTAAATACTTATCTGTGAAGTAAAATTCAGGGTAATACAAATTTGATCGAAAGGAACCCGACAAACACACCCAAATATATCCACATTCATTGCCCCTTTTCACTTCAACACCCAACAATCCAAACCCGCTTAGGACTTGCGCCTCCATTCCTCAATAGAAAAATTATTAGCGTTCATGTCGTTAACCATTGTAACTGGAACATCTTTTACATACACCAACCCCCTTTTTACAAGCCAATTCTGTCCAATTTACATATCTCGACTAACGATAAACAACAATGAAATACGACATAACGAAAAATATCAAAAATCGTTTGCAGAATTGTGTAATAGGTTATATATATATAGGTGATATGGTTCAACAATCTAGGAGCAAGAACTCACTCTGTAACGTTGACTCCCCGTGATTATTGTTTTGAAAAGTTAAAAATTGCAAAACAATGAGTGAAATTTTTTTTTTTTGTTTTATCGCACGAGTCCCACGGCCACACCCCCAAAAAAAATGTTTTTTTGTACCGATTCAATGCGGTCCGAGTGAACTGCGTATGGCGGACTCCAAACGGGTGATCCACACTCAAGAATCGGACAGACTAGCGAAATAAATGTTTTGGTCATGTAAGGATCATTAAATTCCTTTGGCCACCTTTTTATAAAACCAAGCACACCCCTGGCGTTATTGACAATAGATGAAATATGGTCTGGAATTTTAGATTAGGGTCCACCAAGATCATTAACACGTGCCAAGAGCACCTACTTCGAGTGTAAGTCACGTGTCTTGGGTTGACACGACGAAATGTCATAACTTTACACTTGGATCCATTTAAGTTTAGTACGTTATTACGGCAATTTAGATCGGATTGATCTAGCAAGAAATGTCCTTATATTGCAGGCATAAAGAAAGTAGGCATAAGAGAAGCGGACCAGGGTGGCTCCCTTGTTGGACGCCGGACGCCAAAAATTAATGACTAACAGAGTCAAATTCTTTAAAAAAGTTAGTGTAGATGACACCTGTTTGAAGATTATATTTTAAGTCCTGTATTAGGAAGGAAGCTAGCTCCAAAAGGTTAGTGGTTGTTGATCTGCGTTTCATAAAATCATGCTGACACGGTGATAAAATTGCCGACAATTTAGAGATCCTCTGTAATCGCTTGCATCCAATTTGTAACCTTTTTTATGGAGAGGGATTACAAAGGACTCCTTCCATATATGGGGGAACTGTGAAGGTTCAAGAGATAGGGTAAACGCTTGTAGTAAAGGCTTGCACAGGGCTGCTGCACAGAACCCAAGCACACAACCAGGAATTCCGTCGGGAACTGACGAAAGGCTTAATATGCTGAAGATCGTAAAGGAGTTTGCTTTCCTTTAAACTGGGTAAAAATATCGGCTATTGCCTGATCCGAGGAAGGGTAAGAAATCGTTCGTAACGAAATTATAAAACCTTTTTAAATAGTTCTTGTTTTATTTAACCGAGCACTTAAATATTTAGAAAAGATAGACTGAGAACCGGTATCTTTAAATTTTAAATAAAGTCTGGACTTTCAAGTTCTTAGGTGTGTCAAGTCTTTATTAAACCAAGAAGGTTTGTTGGAAATAGATGGATAGTACATCGGAACACAAGAGTTAAAAAATGATTTCATTGTGGTATACAAAATATTTATGTCATCCGGCATTAAAGACAGATATAAAACAAGATAGTATGCTATAGTCGACTTCCCGGACTATCAGATACCCCTTACTCAGCCAGTGGAAAAAGTGGGGAAAAACTATTAAAATGAAAAAAAACAAAAAAAATTTGTTTTAAGTGCATTTTGGGCAGTTTGTGGGCGTTAGAGTGGGCGTGGCAAAAAGATTATTGGCAACTCTATAAAAATTTACCAGATAAAATGAAAAAATATCAAATTTTTCCAAAGTGTGGCCGTTTTGTGCGGTTTGTGGGCATGGCAACATTTGGAAACAAACTTGCGCTGCGTCTATGTCTCTGGAAACTGCATTTTTAATCTCAACATTCTAGCTTTTGTAGACTTGGCCAGATCGAATCGGCTATTGACCCTGATCAAGAATTTATATACTTTATATGGTCAAAAACGTTTCCTTCTGACTGTTACATACTTTTCAACGAATCTAGTATAGCCTTTTACTCTACGAGAAACGGGTTTAATTATTTATCCTCGGAAAGTCTGCCTTCCGAAAACAATGAATTCGTCTGGTTGACTTCTGAAGTAAGGTACGTAAGTCGATTGTCACTTCAAAAGTTGGATGATATAGATCTTCAGGTTGAGTAAGAGGTGCTACTCTGGACAGAAACATACTTTCAGAACTTGTTACAAGACGTAGATCCAATAATCGACCAAGAGAGTTTCGAATATAATTAACTTGCGACAACGATAGGTCGAGCAGGCCCAAAACAAAGTCGTGTTGTCCTATAGAAAAAAATATCAAATTTTTCTTTTGTGGACCACGTAGTGCCAGGTATTAAAATCACCTAGGACTACCAATTGGTCCCTATCGGAAAGCTTATTTTTGACGAATTGAAAAGCGGACAAATGACTTAGATATTCTGGGAGTATTGTTTCTGTGAAGAAACAGAGCAATTGGAAAATGACAGTTTTGCGCATATCAATTCTATGTTACGGAACTCATCAAAAAAAATTCTCCTCTGACGTGAGTAGGTCTACACTACAACCGCAATTGAGACTCCACCTCCCAGCCTGGAGGGACGATCGTGTCTGTATATTGTGTCCACTTCAGAGTTAAGTATCTCTGGCTTTAACTAAGCGCCTGTGAACGCAATGATATGGGATGCAAAGGAAAGTTAAGGAAAGTTAGTTATCTAGTTAATTTGTTACGCAAGCATCTCGTATTTTGATATGAGATAGTAAGACTACATGTAGAAGAGGAGGCAGATGTCTGAAGGAAGTTTAATTCCCACCGGCCTTTTTCTCCTATTTTTGATCTTAGCTTCGAACTCTTTCACTACCATACAATTCGGCCAAAAATCACCAGAACATGTGATTGAAAACAGCTCATTAGGGACAGTTATCTTGAAAGATTAAATGTTCGTGGCGTAAGAAAAATTAAATGTTTCCACTTTTATGTTATAGGCTTTTGTTTTGTTGTATATAAGACAGAACATCAGATGATATTTGATCAGGGGAAAGTCGAGAAATGAAAAATTTTTAGGGGAAGGGCCAACTTGCACTGGTAGTCCGGACTTAATACTCCTTTTTGGTGGTAAACTAATCGGGACAGGTGGAATCCCTGGTTGAGAAACCAGTGCAGAGAAAGCGGAATCTCTAGCAGTCCCAAATTGGACTCCCTCCATAACGGATTGATCGGATTTCTCCGAATCTTTTTTAGCTGCCAATCTAAGCAACATTTGAAGATTTGATACGATCGACAACTGATCAGATGTGGAGTCCTGTTGATCACTTGCCGGAGGCTGCGGGGCATTCCCCTTAGGCAGCATAACACCAGCGGCTTTCTTGCGCTTTGGCGATTCCTCTAATAACTGAAAGCTATTAAACTGCGAATCTAGCGCGGAGAGGAGATCATCAGCTCGACGAAAACTATCTCTGGCCACGCAAAAAATGCTGATCAGTCCTTTCAAGCCACCTTTAGTTTGGTGCATAAACGATTTCATCTCGTTCGCAACCCCTAGGCGAGCATCACAACAGTATTTTACATTTGGGCCCTTAGCTATGTCATCACTTGTTCAGCCGCTAAATCCTGCACCATTTTATCACATAACCAGTACTTTTTGACTGCTCAGGCTTTATTACCTGACTGCATTTATTAGCAGACTTGACTTAAATTATTAGCAGACAACATTAGATTCCAATTTTTTTTGTTTCAGACCGCTGTACAAAGACACAGAATCAAAAAATGCAATAGATCTGTTAAATGTGCCGCAAGAGCGCAGTTAGCACGCTTAGAACTTTGAATTTTGTGTGGGAGAGCGAGAGAGTGGGTGCACTGCGCAGTTAATGTGCATACAAAAACAACACCAGACAGCACTATGGACAACGCACAAAATAGAGAGTTAACAGAACACAAAGACAAAAAAAAACAAAAGGTTTAATTAATTTGTTTGAAACAATGCACAAAGAGAATCACTCGCGAAGCGAACGGATTTTAATAGTTATAAAATATAAATATGAAAGAACTTATTAGAAACTACCGCTAGTTTTGGCAAAAGCAAAAAAAAAATTAGAGCGCAGGAAAAAGCCAACACGACTGTTCGTTTTGAAGTCAGAGAAACATTTTAAACAATGTTAATCCAAAATCAAAAAGATCTAACTTTTAATGATTAGAACAAATTATACAAACAATATTACAAATAATAATATATGTATGTACATATATACAATATAATATAATATATAAAATCATAAATTATCATTGATTTCTATTGTATATTTCCATTAATTTTAATGGAAATTTTAATTTTCCTCGATTATCGTCACTCAGCTAATACATTAGCGAGGAAGCCATAGCCATAAAATCAGCAGATAATAGTCAAATCAAACAAAAATTAAAACATTTTTCACAATTTTGGGTGTGAATGTTTTTCTGTTTGTGCACGTTTGGATGATATGCTCATCATATTGCATCATATTGTTAGCATATTGCATAGAAAGTAAGCAAAAACAAAAAAATATAATAAAAACAAGGGAGAACGCTATAGTCGAGTTCCTCGACTATAAGATACCCGTTATTCAGCCAGTGGAATTGCGAACGGGGTATTTCAATATTTTTCTGCCTTATAGATACAGGGGGCGTGGCAGTATTGGGCGGCTTGTGGGAGTCTAAAACTAATTTTCTTTAAAAAAAAAACAAACTTGGCGTTACTAGAGTATCTCAACTTACTAGATTTTATAGTATCCGAGATCTCGATGTTCATACGGACGGACAGACGGGTATGGCCAGCTCGACTCGGATATGGATCCTAATTAATAATATGTGGTCGGAGACGCTTCCCCCTACCTGTAACATACTCTATGAGTAATTGGTATACAAAATTAAAATATGTGTAATATGTGTAAATGTGTAATATAAGTAACGGGTATCTGATAGTGTGGGAACTCTACTATAGCACTCGACTTGTTTGTATTGGGTTACACCAGCCCATATCTGTTACGATACCAAAAATTGTGGGCGTGGCACCACCCCTTTTATATTTTGTAGTTTATAACTCCACAACGGATAATTTTTAGTTTATTTTTGATCCGGGAGGCACCGACCCTTATATTTAACTAATTTTCGTATTGGCGTTCTTTAATGTCGTATGCTTTGTATATTACAATTTATTACAAAAGTTAACAAAAATAATAATTATAAAAATTCAGAACAATATTGTTCTGAATTTGGAAAGTTCTAAAAATTAAAATATCTTCTAAATTCATAAAAAGTGCAAATTTTAATTACAAATACCTAAACAAGAATTAAATAATTAAATGATATGCATTTTGTTAATAGACTCACTTTAAATCACTTTTGCAAGATAGGTTCACGCGCAATTAAAAGGCGTTGCGCTAGGAAAGCACCTATGTTGGACAGTAGTGGGTCATGGTGCCGTACGGACTTGGAGCAGGCTGAAGCATTTGCTGTACACCTCTCTGACCGCTTCCAACCTTTTAACCTTGCCAGTCCGCAGCAAGAAGAAGAGACGCTCGACCAGCTGACGCAAGCTCTACAAATGGACCTGCCTATCCAACCATTCGACCCTAGAGAGACAGCCGACATCATCGCGCAGCTTAACCCCAAAAGAGCACCAGGACATGATGCCATATGCAACGCCACCATCATGGCGCTGCCCAGTAGTGCAATCCTCTACATGACGTTGATTTTCAACGACATCGTGAGGCTGCAATGCTTCCCCACCCAGTGGAAGCTCGGGATAATCTCCATGATCCATAAGCCTGGCAAGCCGGAAAGGGACCCTCGGTCCTTCCGGCCGATTAGTCTCCTCCCTTCGATCTCGAAGGTGTTTGAGAGACTGATTGCTGCCCGGATTGTCAGGATCATGGAATCTCAGGGGATTACGCCTGAGCATCAATTTGGATTTCGCGCTGGTCACAGTACTGTAGAGCAGCTACACCGGGTTGTCGACCAAATTTTGGCCGCTTTCGAAAACAAAGAGTACTGCAACGCCCTCTTTCTAGACGTCCGTGAGGCGTTCGACCGGGTCTGGCACACCGGCCTACTGCTTAAAATTAAGCACACGCTGCCTGCGCCATTCTTTGGCTTACTCAGGTCATACCTTGAGGGAAGGAAATTTGCGGTCAGTTTCCACTCGGCTCGCTCAACCGAATACGACATCGCTGTCGGGGTTCCTCAAGGAAGTGTTCTCGGCGCCTTGCTCTACTGCCTGTACAGCCATGATATGCCGCAGCCGGAGGATGGCCCCCTAGGTACACCAATGCTCGCCACTTTTGCAGATGACGTGTGCGTAACCTATAGGTCGCAATACTGTCAAGACGCAGCCGATGGCATTCAGGAGTACGCTACGCAATTTGCAGAATGGGCTCGGCGCTGGAATATTGGCATCAACAGCGAAAAATCAGCTAGTGTTTGCTTCACGCTAAAACGAAGCACGCCACCAGCAGTTCAGATTGATGGCACTCAAGTAGCGCAAACCAACTCTGCTAAATTCTTAGGAGTTATCCTAGATCGCAGGCTCACGTTTTCCAAGCATATAACGGTATTAAGAGTACGCTTGCGTGCAGCAGTGGCGAAGCATCACTGGTTTATGGCCTCTCGCAGTAAGCTGACTTTGTCCAACAAATTGACCATTTATAAGCAAGTCATTGCTCCAATATGGAAATACGGATGTCAAATTTGGGGCCTGGCTTGCGACCGCCAAATACGCAGAGTGCAATCAGCACAAAATAGGATTGCAAGGATGATCACCGGATGCGAGTGGTACGTACGGAACTCCACCCTTCACAAAGACCTGGCGCTGCGAACTGTGTTCGACGAAATAAATATGCACTCGAGTCGCTACCACGATAGACTGAGAAGACACCGAAACCGGATTGCAAGGGCACTGACTACATCTCGACCACCCAGGAGGCTCAACAGAAGACAGCCAAGGGACCTGATCCTTCGTTCCCCTTCGACGAGGGTCAGGAGACGCTGACGAACCCGACACTATTACCTTCCCAGTATTGATTCACTTGTTATACCTGTTATAGTTTGTTATTGTTATTTCCGCTAACTTGTGTTAGCTGGCGCGAATAATCGGGCTGAATGAACAGACAAAAAGGTCACAAAGGGGCTAATAGTTCACCCCGTATGCCTTAATAAATAAAATATAAAAAAAAAAAAAAGATAGGTTATCAAAAAAAAATGTTTTTTTGAGGCAAATTATATTTTTACTAAATTACAAGTGCAACACGATTTTCTTGACATACAAACCACACTGATTAAAATTCGTTTTGCAGAATGGGAACGCTTTGCTTGTTAATATATTATACCTTTTGTAAGGGGGAAAAAACTACTACTGTTCTTTACATTTCTGGTATGCAACACTAAAGATTGATCTATTATGAATGTTATGAATGAATTTTTCCACAATGAGACAGCGTGCGGCGCTCAAAAGTATGCAATGTCGCGGGGACCGAAGAAATTGGAAACGGAAAACACGAATGCCACTAAAATGACTCTTAAGCTATGCCCAATTAAAACAGAGGCAATGCTAATGCATAGGTAAAGGGTACGCGCAGATGTGAAAGGGATACACACACACACAGTTTGTTCTACTTTGAAACACAAAACCGCGTCAGTGTGACACACTTATTGCGCCTTATCACACACACACAGGCAGAGGTGTTGGAAAAGGGAGCGCACGTACGCTATTATTTTTCACTAGCTTGTCGGTCAATAAACCGTCAGGGGAACCACAAGAAGGAAAACAAAAAAATATGCAGTTTTCATATTTCCATTGAATAAATTATTCTCCCGAATGCCAAAAAATACGTGCAAAAACGAATATATTGATTACGAATGCTTACTCCAAATGTACCGCTAAGCCATTCAACAACAGCTTGTAGCTCCTGCGTCTGTGTTTGTGTCGCTCTCCTGGATCACGCACATGTGTGTGTGTTGACCAACTTCGTTTTCAACTGGTTCTAAGATCTTTACTACCTGGGAAATTTAAACAATCGGTTTATATAATAATTTATACTAATACGAATTGCGAAATTTCGTCAAATTATCTCTCGATTAATAAATGCGTTTGGTTTCGTTTGATTGCCACGCTTGATTGTTTAACGTTTGTTTTAAAACTTTTTTGGACACTCCGCCAATGTGACCGTATACTGACACGTACAATTTACCGATAAATATACCAATATATTCCTACATAATAAGAAAAAAATTCTGGGTATTCCTTAAACTATTAAATCGTTGAAATTTTAACAATTCAACATAAAGAAAAAAGAGACCAAAACAGAAACATATAGCCTGAAAGCAAATTTAAAATTTTCGCCCACAAAAGCGAAATATGGTGTTTTACTTTCATCTATAGAATTTCTTTTCCACATGTCACGTTTATCGTCCATATATGTTCAACTATTACTACAATCATGAGCTGACGTTTACGTATATTTCAAAACTACTTTTTTTATTTATATAATGTTCTTTAATTTTTTACTTAGAAAGACGAGTAGTATTCTTATGAACTTAAAAAATTTATGATATATGTACGCGAGTATGTTTGTGTTTACCAGGAGAATAGCACACTGGCCTGTGGTTTAATACATCTCAGGCTTGGGTTTCTTATTATAATGCCACATTATTACCTATTGAGCAAAAAATAAGTACCGTTTAGTTTGTCAATTTGTCTATCTAGTTTGTCCATTTCTCTCGTTAACAACATTTATTTGTTATCAGTGTATACTCGTGTAGGTAGAGAAAAATGTTTTGGTGGAAACCAGCTATAATATATATTAATACTGCTTGAATTCATTATTTACTGATTTAGTAACTTTTAAATTATTTTAAAACCATTTTTGACATTTTTGTATTAATTAGTGACCGCTTACAACACGTACTACATACAAGTGTCAGGGAATCTTGCCAGTTTTATGATCAGGCCCGCGATGTGATTGGCGATGACACTATCGCAGTTTCATGCAATCAATCGTCGATATCGAAGCCGCATTGCAAGTTCTGAAAGAATTGGGAATAATTAATCGGTCTCCAAGCGTTGCTTCAGGTGATTGCGTAGCGAATCCACCAGCAGGAAGTCCACCGGAAGAAAGGGACATATCCGGGCCAAGGAGCAGCGCAAGCAGGACACAAGCAAAAAGGGTGAAAGAGCGGAGGCAAATTGTCAGAAAATTACAACAACAATTAGCAAAGACAGGAAGCAACAGCAATGTCTTCGGCCAGGGACCTTATCAAGATCGACATAGTAAGTGAAACATGGGTTTTATGTGGATAATAACAATTTTTACTCATCGATCACAAGGAATGGGGCATGGAGCGCCTGGTGCGGGCCCAGCAAGTGGTGGAGCTGCGTCCCTATGACATCGAGTCCTGGAGCGTCATGATCCGCGAGGCCCAAACGCGTCCAATTCACGAAGTGCGCAGCCTATACGAGTCGCTAGTTAATGTGTTCCCGACAACCGCCCGGTACTGGAAGCTATACATTGAGATGGAAATGCGCAGCCGGTACTACGAACGCGTGGAGAAACTTTTCCAGCGCTGCCTAGTCAAGATTTTGAACATCGACCTCTGGAAGCTCTATCTTACCTACGTGAAGGAAACCAAGTCGGGCCTCAGCACTCACAAGTAACTGACCCACCGCATTTAAGTGATTCGCATAATTTAAAAATCTTAGAGGCTATTATAACTTTCGACAAAAGTTTGCAACGCAGTGAATGAGATATTGCCGTATTCCATTACTTTTAACGACCTAAAGCAATCTAGTTTTTCAGCAATCGGCTTGAAACTAATCGCAATATTCGATGTTTTTGATAATATTCTTATATTCTCTAGGATAAGACTAAACAAGATATGTTCAATTTTGACACGCTTATCATCTTGGACTTATGTACATCTGTTTCCAGAGAAAAAATGGCCCAGGCTTATGATTTTGCTCTTGAAAAAATTGGCATGGATCTACACTCGTTCAGCATCTGGCAGGATTACATATATTTTCTGCGTGGCGTTGAAGCAGTGGGTAACTATGCTGAGAACCAGAAGATCACAGCAGTACGCCGCGTCTATCAAAAGGCGGTAGTCACACCCATCGTGGGCATCGAGCAGTTGTGGAAGGACTATATCGCCTTCGAGCAAAATATAAACCCTATAATATCGGAGAAGATGAGTCTGGAACGATCTAAGTGAGTATTATACGACGCAGCGTTTGCCAGATGTTCTTTCTAAAGTTCCATTTTAAACCAGGGATTACATGAACGCCCGCCGCGTTGCCAAAGAGTTGGAATACCACACAAAGGGTCTCAATCGCAACCTTCCAGCCGTCCCGCCCACAGTCACAAAGGAGGAGGTGAAGCAAGTGGAGCTGTGGAAGCGCTTTATAACGTACGAGAAGTCGAATCCGTTGCGCACTGAAGACACGGCCCTAGTCACCCGTCGCGTCATGTTCGCCACGGAGCAATGTTTGCTGGTGCTCACCCACCATCCGGCAGTGTGGCACCAGGCCTCCCAATTCCTGGACACCAGTGCTCGTGTGCTCACCGAGAAAGGCGTGCGTACTAGTGTTGAAAACATCACCTATTCTCTGGGTTTCTGTAGTGAATCAAATAGAGTGGGTTTTGGCCTTTGCTTGGTGGTTCGCAAAAGTCAAAATCAAAAACGAATCAAATATAGTCTCTTGTTTGCTGAGAAGTGTCGCCCCTTGGGTAAAGGAGCACGCAGTGGCACAATACAGATGCCTTTCCGTGGCTTGCTCCGTTGCCCCTGACCGGGTCGCACGCATTTTACTCTTTATAACTATGTCGAACTGTATGTGTATTTATATATTCAATTCTTTACTAAAACGTTGCAGGACGTCCAGGCGGCCAAGATTTTTGCGGACGAGTGCGCTAATATACTCGAACGGTCTATAAACGGCGTGCTAAACCGGAATGCGTTGCTATATTTTGCCTATGCGGATTTTGAAGAAGGGAGGCTGAAGTACGAAAAGGTGCACTCCATGTACAACAAGCTGTTGCAATTGCCAGACATTGATCCCACATTGGTAGGAACCCAAATATTATTATGTTTGATCAAATATTTGATACCATTAATATGAAATACTCCAGGTCTATGTTCAGTACATGAAGTTCGCCCGTCGTGCTGAGGGGATCAAGTCAGCCCGTAGCATTTTTAAAAAAGCACGGGAGGACGTACGGTCGCGCTATCACATTTTCGTGGCCGCTGCTCTGATGGAGTACTATTGCTCCAAGGACAAGGAAATCGCGTTCCGCATCTTCGAGCTGGGATTGAAGCGTTTTGGTGGCAGTCCAGAGTACGTGATGTGCTACATTGACTACCTGTCTCATCTGAACGAGGACAATAATACGCGGGTCCTGTTCGAACGGGTACTTAGTTCAGGCGGTTTGTCGCCGCACAAGAGTGTTGAGGT